AGCTAGATAAGAGTTTAGAAAAACTTCTCTATAGATCAAGAGAGAGAGAGAGAGAAGAGTTGGATGCTCAAACACAATTGGTGATCTTCCTCAAGCTCTTGTGAAAATTGCTTCACAAACAAAACTCTTAAATACTCTTTTAAACAAACACCAAACACCATTAAACTTGTTTTAAACAATTCTCTTAACTAAATGAAATTGAGGATATGTGGGGGTATTTATAGGAACCCCAAAGCCAAGAAAAAACAAGGCAAAAAGACCAAAAAACTAAAACTGGAACAAGCTGGAAAAAACTAGCCGTTACAGCATCAGTCGACTGACGGCTTTTATCAGTCGACATATGAGCTGACTGTTATAGGTATTTTCTAGCTCATCAGTCAACTGACGGACCTTATCAGCTGATCAAAACAAAAGAGAAACTTTTGGCAACTGCAGGCATATTCTTCAGTCGGCACATCAGTTGACTGATGTCATCAGTCGAGTTACCAGTTGACTGATAACAGGTTATCAGCTTGTTTTGAAACAGAAATTTGATTTTCAAACTGCTTTTGAAAATAGCAAACAAATTCAAAAAATATAAAACTTTGGAGAATATTTGTAAACATGATAATAAACATGTTACAAAAACTAGTTTTTAAAAAGAACATCCCAAATGTGAAAACTCTTCATTTTACATAAAGGTTCAAAACATGTAAATGTGATACACTTTAAATTTGATGTTTTGAACTAAACAAAAGTTTTGAAAACACTTGTATTGGCTTTATAGACTTAGAAAAAGATGTAACATAGTATTATCAAGTCCATAAACCAAGAACAAAATATTTTTCCAAATACAACAGAATATGAAACATATAAAAGTGTATATGAAGATATATATTGTTTCATATAGCTAAACCAAAACATATATGTATATATATATATATATATATATATAACTATATATATATATAAAACCAAAATGTGTACATGTGTATATGATTAAGCTTAAAGTATCAACACACATAATATAAAAACCTAAACTAAATTACTCAAGCTTGATCTTGATCTTCAATAAGCTTTTCTTAGTAAACTTACGGATGAAGCTTGAACTTGGATCTTCAACTTGAATTGTATTGCTTCATTCCACTATTCCGCCAACCTTCATTGGATATGATCGTGAATGCATAATTCCATCCAACCTCCAACATATTGTTTGCCTAGAATAAATACAAAACACAAATACAAGACAAATAACATTAGTTGTAAATTGTTTGTTAATCATCATCAGAACAAAAAGACCCAACAGTATTATCCCAAGCTTAAGGAGAAGTACTTGAAGTATAAGAAGAAGAAGGCTATGTACGCCGGATGGGATAAATCCGAACCAAGCGATTCAGATAGCGATGATAAGGGTACCAAGATTGCTCTTCATGACGCAAACATTTGTTTCATGGCTCATGAAGATGAGGTACAATCTGAAACCGAAAGTGAATCATTCTTTATGTAATGTGAACTTGAAACCGCATTAGAAGAATTAAGCATTGAATTTAAAAGAGTGGCAAAAGAATACTCTTCTTTTAAAAAATTACATGGTTCTTGTGATTCTAAGTTTGTGCAACTACAATCTTCTCTTGCTCTAAAAGATGAAATGATAGGAGATCTAGACTTTGAAAACAAACAACTAAGGTCTAAAATTGAGAGGCTAGAAATTAAAAATGATAGAATTAAATCTTGTCATGTCTACTTTAGCCATCCTCATGTTGATAGAAAATGGTATCATAAATCTCATGCTCCTACATACAAGAAAAATTTTTATGCGCATATTGCATGAGATATAGTCATATCTCTACTCATTGCAGGATTAAAAATAACATTGATCATTATCAGTTAATATGGGTACCTAAGGGTACCAAAAATACTAACATTCAAGGACCCAAACTTTGGGTATATAAAGGTTCTATAACTTATTCATATGTAGGGAACATCTCGCACAAGACGTAAGGAGTTGTGCTACCTTGATAGTGGTTGCTCACATCACATGATGAGTAACAAGGAATTATTTACAACCCTATCAAGGATTAAAGGAGGCAATATCTCTTTTGGTGGTAGTGAGAAAGGTAAAATTGTAGGTATTGGTAATATTGGTAAGATACATTCTCCCATAATTGAGGATGTTTATTTTGTTAAAGGACTAAAACATAATTTTCTTAGTATTAGTCAATTAAGTGATAAAGGCTTTAACATTTATTTTAAACTGGATAAATTTATTGTTAGTATGAATGATAAAATCATTTTTGTTACTTTTAGAAGATCTAATGTTTACATCTTTGAGATGAATGAGCTAATAGATCAAGATGTAAAGTATCTTACCGCGATGGATGAAGATTCTTGGATTTGGCACAAGAGACTTGGACATGCTAACATAGAGTTAATATCTAAGCTATCCAAGAAGAATTTAGTGAGAGGTCTACCAAATCTAATCTATATTAAAGACTCTATGTGTGAGGAATGTGCCAAAGGTAAACAAACTAAGAATTCCTTCAAATTCATAAATAAGGTATCCACTTCTAAACCTTTACAATTATTACATCTTGATCTTTTTGGTCCTATGCGTGTTGCCTCGTTAGGAGGAAAACATTATGTATTTGTAATTGTTAATGATTTTTTACGTTTTATATTGGTAATTTTTCTTACAAATAAAGATGAATGTTTTGAAGAGTTTTCTCATTTTGTAAATAGAATTAAAAATAAAAAGATTTGAAAATTGTTAAAATTAGAAGTGATCATGGAGGTGAATTTTAAAATAAATTTTTTGATGAATTTTGTACTCATCATGGTATAACTCATATGTTTTCTGCTATTCCGTCAACCTCCATTAAGATTTGAATTGCATTGCTTCACTCCACTATTTCATCAACCTCCATTTGATATGATCGTTATGGCGCAATCCATCTAACCTCCAACTCATTGTTTGTGTAGAATAAATAAGAAAACACAAACACTAGACAAACAATATTAGTCATAAATTATTTGTTAAAACAACATCAAAACAAAAAAAGGCACAATCTCCCCATTTTTTATGATGACAAATAATTTATCAATATGATATAAAATCAAAATAATTGACCAAAAAATGAAAACAAAATAAAATGAAAACAAAATTGATCAAAGTCAATAAAATGAAAACAAAATAATTGACCAAAAATTTATTTTCATTTACAAAAATTTTAAAACACGTTTTTCAAAACCAAGAAATGAAAAATAAAAAAAACTAAAAGTATGGGTTTAAAATTAAAAAGATTTCGGCACCCAAGCATTCTTAGTACCGAAAGATTTAGGGACATGACCCCTATCATTTAAGTTCAAAACCTTAAGGTGATAATCCCTTTTGGGCAAATTTGGTGCACGGGTCCGGTCATAACAATAATCATGCAAATGACTCATTCGATTGTAATAAGTACAATGAAATAAATGCATTTGTTTTTTAGACCATATGGATGTGCATGAGGAACATTTACAAATAAAGATGATCTTTTAAAATTATTTTACAAATGTAAAATTTTTTGTAAATTAAAATAAAACTTTGCTAAGTGGCTAAATCTACCACAAATATCACATTTAAACTTATGTGGTATTTTAAAATCATTTGGAAAATTTGAAATCCTTTTCATATCAAAGAAAAATTTTGCCAAATGGCCAAAACGTCCACAAAGATTACATTTGTACACATTGGCATGCTTATGATAAACTTTATAAGAATGTGCATGTGCATGTGTTCATGATGATGAAGCTTGATGGGATGCACTAGGAACATTAGATTTTGTGGGTTTACGTGCATCATAGCAAAATTTAGTAAGGTAGCCTTTACGACCGCAAATAAAGCACTTATAAAATTTGCTATATATGTGTGCATAATGAGTGCTATTTATAGGAGATTAGGGGGTGTAAGTGACCCCTAAAATCGATCCTAAGTGGGGAAGTGATCCCCTCAAATCGTGGAAAATGGTTTTGAAACCGTTCAGCTCGTGTTTGAATAAGCCAAACGCAAAATCCATGTTATGGTATGAATTCTACGTTCGAATGTAGCATTTGGAAGCTACGCTGGCAACTTTTGGAAACTTTGTTGGAAGCAGTTTGGAAGCTGCATTGGCAGTATTTAGAAGCTGCGTTTGTGGTCGTTGGAAGCTACGTTGGTAGCATTTAGAAGCTGCGTTTGTGGTCGTTGGAAGCTGCATTGGCAGCTGGATTTGAGTTGTGTTTGCAGCTGAATTTGTGCTGTGTTTGTAGCTGAATTGAAATTACATTTGCAACTAGATTACACAATGATTGCATTTCTTTGACTCTGGAACAAAGCCACTTGAATTTCATTTCTAGGATGTAGAGATGAGCTCTACATCTTGGTCTGAAGAGATCATTGACTTGTAATCTTTTTTGTCAGAGCGCTACAAAAATTATTATTTTGTAATCTTTGCTTTAGCTCTTTGAAATGTGAGAGTCGTTAGATTATAACTCTCGCTATTGATTGTGAAGACTGTTGAATCAGAGCTTTCATCGGTTGCCGTAAAGGTCGTTAAATTATAACATTTTTTGATCTACGTGAAAATCTTCTAATTATAGCCTTTATTTGTTGATGTGAAAGCCATTTGATTGTAACCTTCATTGTCAAGTTGTTAATGCAGAAGTCATCAATTTGTAACTTCCATCATTGGTATTTCATGAGGATCAGCTATTTGTACTAATTTTTAGATAGCCTATATCCACGATTAAAAAGGAGATGTTAGCTATCGTAAAATGTTTTTACAAATTCCAAGATGATATTCTCAATCAAGAATTTTTATTAAAAATAGATTACAATTCTGATAAGACAGTTTTAGAAAAAAATATTAAAAATCTTGTTTCTAAACAAATTTTTGCCGGATGGCAAGCTGAGCTGGCAATGTATTAATTTAAAATTGATTATATACGTGGACAAGATAATCATTTGTCTGGTTTTCTAACACGTGAATTTTTATAGGGTACCAATGTGTCACATTAACTCCTCCCACAGAGGAGGAGGAAGGAATGGAAGCAGCAATGGAAGGAGTTATACTCTAACTCACCCAAATTTATGGAGAACTATCTCCAAGAAGGGAAATATATGTGTCCCTTCATCATCATCTTCTAAAGGGATAGAAGATTTAATGGCAAAAGAGAATATGCCTGAACCATTCTCTACTGTAGTCAAGAGAGATGTAGAATGGTATACTAAAGTCATCTCTAACATTGTTCTTCATATAGAACAAGAGGACGTTCCTCTTATGAAAAATGTTAAAAAAATTAAGACAAAAAATACTTAGATTCGACATACTATCCTACATTATCTCTAAATCTAGAGCATGGATTAAGACAATATTCATCCAGAGAAGTATGGAAATTACACATTTTTAGAGTAATGATAATCATATTGTCCCTCCAAACTTCAGCAAATATGTCATCAAAAAAGTCATACTGCACAAAGATTGGGCAATGAGTACTAACCAGGAATTCCCTTTGGTTAAAACTCCAAACAGAGAAATTTATAAATTTAATAACTGGGATTATCAATCATCCTTTTACTAGCTGTTCCTTTATCAAAATCCTAAGAACAAACATACATGGCCAATTAAGCTATGTCCAGAAGCCATTTATAAAGGCCTACCCAGCTGGTTTTATAATTGGCGGTCTAAATATGGGGCAGACCTTGATATAGTACACGTACTCATATCAAAATTATATACCCCTTGGGTTGACTCTCATCCAGTCATCTAAAAAATGAATGAGGATTAAATTCTAGAAGCTGGCTTGTGCTCAGCATATTTCTTCGCTGAAGCAGAAATCCAATAGATCTAGAATCAGTCTTTAAAAGCTACATGGGATAAACTTCACCTACCATCTCTTCAAAGAAAATATCACAGTAGATGATGGATGAGTATCAACGTCCAAGACAAGGAAAAACAGATAGAAGAAATTATTCAGAGGAATAATAAAATCCTCGATAATACCTTGACTCAAGAAATTCAAAATGAAAATCCTATGATTAAGTTAGCAAAAACAATGAAAAGAAAATATCCTCAAGCTATAGAAGCTAAAATTTAGCAAAAATGCCTTGAACATACGAAGAAATAATTCTTCAATGTATTTGACAATAGTGATATTATATCAACAAAAAGTATAAATACATCCAATCAAGGGAAAGATATATCTTTACCAGACGCACAAGATCCTTATGAGGAAACAGCCGAAGAAATATGGGAAGAGTCCATGGGAGTTCCCACAGATGTAAAGGGTAAAGGTATTGAATAGTTATAAACTATCACTTACCGACAGTCATACTAATTTCTCTACTAAAGTTATAACTTTAATTTTCTAACAAAGTTATACTTTACTTTTTAATTGTATTGATTAGAAAAGGCCGAGCTGCCACCTAAGATATAAGATCAAAGAAAAGGTATTCGGTGCGTGATGGGCCCCACAGAGTACCCTACGCCTTCTACTTTATTTTGAGTTGAGCCTCGGGGAGCCGCTCTTAGTGCTAGGTGACACATGCAATGACGAAAGATTCCACCGAAAAAAGATGCCAAGAAATAATGCGTATTAGAACAAAAAAGTCATCAATAATGTGTCCACTTTAAATTTTCTCCAACCATCTATCCAAAGAAAATCAATCATAAAAGATTTATTTCCCATTTATAAATAAAGCATAAAACATTATAGGTTGTGTGCTTAATTTTTTAGTCTTATATTTTTGAAAGTAAAGGAAAAGAGTTTCACTCTCTATCCGATATTTTACCTTCTTTCTTTCTCACTCTTTCTCTTTGTAAAGGTTAGCCGACCGAAGGCTTTGTAAATTTGAAGAAGATGAAATAAACTGGAGAAACCCTAAGTTCTAACTGAACTTGCAGGCTTCAAACCGTAAGTATTTACAGATTTTCTTTCTTATTACTATATACTGAAAACTTTCATTTATTTTTAAGAGGGAACAAATTGCTAGAAGCTTTAAAATAATATAGAAGTCTTCAATCATCTAGTGAGGCAGCTCCAGCTCTCATTACATGGTCTAATGACACTTGACATATTTTGTTTGATATCACTATGCTTTCATACGTCAGAGCAAGGTGACAAAGAGAACAACATTCATCTTGGAAAATCTCAGAGTTTCAGAGTTTAAGTATTGAAAAGAAAGGATATATAATTAAGTTTCAAATAAACCTCAGGCTTGATTAATTATTTCTCCTTATACTATATACTGAAAACTTTCATTTATTTTCAAGAGGGAACAGATTGCTAGAAGCTTTAAAATTATCTAGAAGTCTTCAATCGTCTAGTGAGGTAGCTCCAGCTCTCATTACATGGTCTAATGATACTTGACATATTTTGTTTGATATCAATATGCTTTCATACGTCAAAGCAAGGTGACAAAGAGAACAACATTCATCTAGGAAAATCTCAATTTCAGAGTTTAATT